AAGCAGTGGTATCAACGCAGAGTACTGTAGCTCAAATTTTGCAAAAAAATCGATAAAATCAATATCGATCGATGACGAAAAGTAGCCTATGACACCCGCCGGGGCCCGAAGTGTATGTGTGCCAAGTTTGGTCCAGATCGGTTCAGAAATGGAATTTTCTATTCGGAACATACGTACATACAGACATACAGTCATACATACAGACATATATACAGACATACATTCAAACAGACATTCAGCTTTATATATAAGATATATATATATCAGTGGCGCTCCCTCCCCCCCCCCCCTCGGTACGCCACTGATATGCAGGGTGTCTCAAAAAATGTTTCGAACGTTTGATCGTTAATATCTCTCTTCCCAAGAAGTCTTCCTTGCTTCAGGTACCGTTTTGTAGAGCTGGCTTCAACTTAGATTTGCATTAGAGAACGAATCACCCAACTCTCTTCATTACTGTAGTATTACGGTAGAAACTTGAAACATGTGGTGTCAATGTGGAAAAAAGCTGCCGTTTCAAAATTTTTCAAAAAAATGTGAAAACCTGTGTATTGGGGTTTTTTATGGACGCTGAGTTCAATACTCAACTATTCACAAGATTACGAAGCTTTCTAAACGGTGTAACCGCACTTTTTAAGAACATTGAAAAAATGGCCGCTACCTCTTACCTGGCATAACTCTTCAATGAAGCATCAATAAGACGGAAACTTTACAGTTATAATCAGCAACTCTAATTAGCCTAGTGTAGAAGCTTTCGGGCTGTTTTGTTTCTTTTCTGAGGCAAAATATGGCCTTTCATTGCTTAAAACCCTCTTTCAAGTTTCTACCGTAATCCTACAGTAATGAAGAGAGTTGGGTGATTCGTTCTTTGATGCAAATCTAAGTTGAAGCCAGCTCTACAAAACGGTACCGAAGCAAGGCAAAAGACTTCTTGGGAAGAGAGATATTAACGATCAAACGTTTGAAACTTTTTTTTTGGGACACCCTGTATATATATATATATATATATATATATATATATGTTTGCGTTTCAATTCTATGCCTTCCTAACGGTGACATCGCACTTGCTCGTCTTTTAGCTGCCAAATGCTCTTTGAGTCTAACATTCAACAATCTATCCGTTTCTCCGATATATGTTGCCCTACAGCTCAAGCACTCTAATTGGTACACTACTCCTGCCTTTGTGCAATCACCTAGTTTCCCATACGGTCAGACAATGCAATGCTCCGTTGGACATTCTATATCGTAAAACCTGTTCCTTACCAACTGCTTTTTGATGCTTTCATTCGGGATGTTCACAAGCATAACATCATTTTGCAGTTGTGGTCGAGCTATGTATCGCTTAATTGCTGCACTTACTTGATCGGAAATAAAAGGAATGCACAAGGGTACCTTGGCATTGTCGCGAGTGTGGCTAACGTTTGCATGCCTTGAGGCATGTTGAAGTCGTGGTGAGTAACCATTACCACGCGCAATTCGTGTAGCCAAAATTAGGGACTCGAGTCGTTCTTGTGCACCCGTGCAAACACTGACAGCAGTTCGGATATTTTTTATAACGCTTGTTTCACTGTTGATGGATGCGCTGAATTGGCATGCCACAAGATGTTCTTTGGACTTTTCTTTCGGTACCACTTCATACGAATCGTGCCGCCAGATAGATTTATCTGGGTATTTAGGTAGGAAAGCCATCTGTTTTTCGGGGTTTCTCATGTAAGCGTTATGTACTGTGACTGCTGGTTTAGAATTCTAAGGCATTCGTCCATTTCGGACTGCGTCGATGTTATAACACAGCAGTCATCGATGTAACGGCAGTACATCACTGGCAAGCGGGCAAGAACTGGTGCCTCAATCTTACTCATGAAACAAATAGACAGGATTGGGGCAAGACGTTGTCCCATCGCCAATCCTCTGATCTGAGAGTAATAACTCCCAGACCACCTAAAGATGTTACACTTCAAACATTCTTTGATGGTGACCAGTATGCTAGCTTTGCTGAGACCAAAAGTGACCATGTTGGAATAATGAATATCCAGCAACTCAGACAGGGCTTGCAGTGCATCATCGTTTTGAACATTAGTGTATAAGGATGTAACGTCGAAAGACTCCACAACACTATTCTGTTCAACATTTA